AGCAGTGGTGGCTCTTCTGTCCCGAGGACCGGCCCATAGATTTCCACTGTTCTCCTCTCCTCTGCTTTCTACGTAGCAGGCACTGGACCCAGCTGTTCCTCCTCTTCCTCATCAGCCACCTCCAGACCTGGGGGCTGTTGCCTCTCCATCTAAGGGCTGACGGACAGCCCAGGCTCCGCCTCTATCTCTGTCTCTCTCTCTCTCTCTCTCTCTCTGCCAGCTCCATTGTCCGGGTTCCGAATAGCATCCAAAAGCCAATCAGAGTCCGAGGCAAAGTATTCCTCAAAGTTCCAATTTATGAAGAGAGCCATGCTGGCGCATCGGGGAAAACCCGAATCTGAAAGCTTCCTGGTTTCCCCCACCCAGTTGAAAGTTCAAGATCTTGCCCCCACCCCCCCACAAGTCCATCCCACGGTCCAATCTCCCCCTGCCATGCTGGCAACTTCCACCCATCCGGTTCCGGCCAGGTGCAGAGATGCAGAGACAAAGGATGACCTTGGTTTTCTAGAAAGAATGTTGTTATGACTACATATCATCTAACTCCGTACAATCCCCACCTCCCATTTTCCCACGATAGAAAATGCATCGTAGGATAATCGAAAGTGTGGCAGGCCAAAGAGCCGAAAGAAAAGATGGCTGCACATCCATTCCCTCTTCCCCCTCGGACTGTCAGGTTGCCCTGAAGCTGATCCTGACTCCCACGCTTCCTCCTCCGATTCGGTTGCCGACAGGCCACAACTAACCCCTTTCCTCTTGGGATGGACGAAATGCAGGATGGACTTTCCCCGTCCGCTCGCATCCAGAAGTTTGACCTGGCCCCCAATTCCAGAGGTCTTGAATTTGCTGTGGATTATGGAAGTGGCCAACCTGAATTTGTTCCCCGCAGCTTACCAGTACCAGCTGGCGCTCGAACGCTACGAATGGAACGAGGTGAAGAACGTCAAGTCCATCGTGCCCATGATCCACGTCTCCTGGAACGTCGCGCGGACGGTCAAGATCAGCGACTCGGACTTGTACAAGATGATCAAGTGAGTTGGTTTGTTGTTGTTTTTTTTACTCTTCCAGGGTCCCACGTGAGCCAAGCTGGCCTTCCCCGTCCTAATATGAGAGGTCCTCGTTGTTAGGGTTCCGAATAGCATCCAAAATTAAATCGGAGTCCGAGGCAAAGTATTGCTCAAAGTTCCAATTTATTCAGAGAGCCATGTTGGCACATCGGGGAAAACCCGAATCTGAAAGCTTCCCGGTTTCCCCCACCCAGTTGAAAGTTCAAGATCTTGCCCCTCCACACCCACAAGTCCATCCCATGGTCCAATCTT